GTTTTAGATTCGACACATTGGCGTAATTGAGTATCATTGGAATTAACATTATTTAAGCTTAAAACTAGGTTTCAAGTGGCGTTTGTCAACCTGCAGAGTATTGTTGTGATCCGTAGGCCCCAAAAGAATAAAAAACAACCGGAAATGGCGGGATCAAAAAATCATCCCAAAAAAATCGTGAGCTATACCCTTTACTTTTTTGCGAAAATTGGCCAATTTTTCAACTAGTAGTTTTTTTGCTGATCCTTACCTTATGGTACTCAAGGATCATGAAAATACCGATTATATTTGATTTAACCTTGTACAACATCATTTTCTTAGCGTTAAAAGTTTTAATTTTCTCAGATTCGGACACATTGACGTAATTGAGTATCATTGGATTTAACATTATTTAAATTTTAAATTAGGTTTCAAGTGGCGTTTGTCAACCTCTAGAGTATTGTTGTGATCTACAGATCATCCCAAAAGAATACAAAACAACCGGAAATGGCGGGGTCAAAAGATCATCCCAAAAAAAATCGTAGGCTATACCCTTTACTTTTTTGCGAAAATTGGCCAATTTTTCAACTAGTAGTTTTTTTGCTGATTCTTACCTTACCCAAGGTTCATGAAAATACCGATTATGTTTGCTTTAACTTACATCATTTTCTTAGCGTTTAAGTTTAACTTTGTCGGATTCGACACATTGGCGTAATTGAGTATCATTGGATTTTACTTAAGCTTAAAACTAGTTTTCAAGTAGCGTTTGTCAACCTGAAGAGTATTGTTGTGATATGTAGGTCCCAATTGAACACAAAACAACCGGAAATGGCGTGGTAAAAAAATCACCCCCCCCCCCCAAAAAAAATCGTGAGCTATACCCTTCTTATGTTTTTGCGAAAAGTGGCCAATTTTTCACCATGTAGTTTTTCTGCTAATTCATAACTTATGGTACGTAAGGATCACAAAATACCAATTATGTTTCATTTAAGCTTTTAGGCCTACAGCCAGTGGCGGATTCAAAATATTTAAAAAATTGAGGGAAAAAAAATTATACTGAAATATTTAGTCTAAGAGGGCCATTTCCGGCCTCTAGAGGGTGCCATAAACATAAATCTTCTGCTCTCAGCCCCGGTCATCTGTGGAAGTCCATCTGGGACCCCATTATTTAAAATTACTGGATCCGCCACTGATTATGGCAAAATTTTAATTTTTTTTTGTAAAATAGTCCACAAATTAAATGAAAAGGACTCAAACTGATTTTAGAACACAGTCTCTGGTCTGAAAATGTAGGCCTGAACAACAACACAACAATGGATTCCGCAATTAAATCTAACACAATTAAGGCTTAGAGGCTCTTACAACTCCAGTATGGCAGTACACTCTCTACTTACCTACATGTACATTTTCCCGGAATTTAGAAGAAACACCATTCCAAAATTCAATATTTTAGAAGGTGTTTTTCCGACGACGTGTCTATAACCATACCAGTTCACCATACACGCTTGCTTTCACCGTAATTTGGATGTTATTAGACGTCAGGTGCACAACCAACTAGGTACTAGATCTAAAGAAATTACTACAAAGGATAGTAATCGTCCTCTAACGAATCAAGGGGCATTTTTAGGTAGCTAAAGACTTAACACTCTGTATTTTGGTTATTATTAGTCATAGGTAGTTCATTTTGGTACCATAGTTACCAACCGTCTCGCATCGTGCGGGACGATCCCGCATTTTAAAGTGATTTTGGATGAAACACACATTTTGCAGAAACACATGCGTGATCCTATATTTGTCACACATTTAGCGTACAGTAAGTCTATGCCTGATAAAAAAAAATTATCACGAATTCAGGGAAAATGTATTTAAAATTAGAGGAAATTAGTTTTATTACAAATATAAAAACTATCATGCAGTAACTTGAGTCTCAGAGAGTACAGTACGCTATTTACGTGAATACTTATTTCACTGACGCGTTACTAAAAATTGATCTGTAATTAAATATTTGTGTAGGTCGACATAGTTAAGTTCGTTTGCTCAAATTAAACTTACATTGAAACTGAAAATTGTACGTGGCTTTAAAAATATTTTTGCTGTAGGCCTGCTCGATATTGTCAACAAACGTTCCCTGAAATCGTTTAAAACAGCTTAAAAATGCTCAGATCGCCGAAGCACGGGGGCCTACGCTCCCACGATCCACGCCGGGGTTCTACCCATGGACCCCTCCTCCCCCTCCCCAGCCAAATGGTGTAGTCACTCACGCATTTCAAATCTCTGTTCGGTAGGCTCATTTTTCTATTCGCTATAATAGAACATTCCCCGACAAAATACCAGGAAGGTAGTTACTGTATTACCAAAAAAAACCCCCGTTTTTAGCCAAAAACATGCTTTTTTTTTCTTTACAATTTTCTTGTTTTTCAAAGCCACCGAATGTTTCCACTTATTCAGTGTTGGCAAATGATAGCTAAAGTGAAAATGAACAACAGCAACAGCAAAAATTGTTTACAAATTCTAATAATCTATGCATAAACTTTAAAAAACCCGGTTTTGGTAAAATTTTGCAAAAACCAGGAAAACTCCGACTTTAAAATATAAAGACCCTTTTTAAGAAAGTGCCCTTTATAGGACATTTTCTTACAGATTTGAGTAGACAGACAATACATTATAAAGAGAGAAAGACAATAGAAAGTCCACTTATAAATCTAGGATGATTTCCGGCGGTGGTAGTTTTTACCATGTTGTTTAGGTCACTTTATAATATATAAATTATTTTTATAAATAAATAAATTAGAAATACCGGGGGTGACTGGTGGGGGATAGTGTTACCTGTGTAATATTTACTGTATTTAATATATTGTTTACAGTTTACTACTACATTTTCTAATATTATGTTTACAAATGACTACAAAAGTATACCGAATACTGACCCAACAGCTCTACCTCCCATCCGAACCAAGAGATAATGGACCATTCCGCTAAGCCTCAACCCTTGAATATTGTGCCAAAAAAAATAATAAATAAACATAACAACCCTTAGATGCCTGGAAATAGCATCTGGGAACCTATTATATATCGGCATTTCCCCTGCTCCATGATTTAAAGTTAGTGGGCGACTAGCTCCACTACTCATGCTCTGCATAGTTGGGGCAAAGGTGAGCAAATTTTGCTAAAATTAAAGATTCAAAAAAAGTTTTAAATTAATTTATAACACGAGCTTGAAATGCATAGGCTAATAGTGAATTACAACACGCACATGGTGAAACATTCGAATGACATTCATGTGCAAAAATTATTATTTTAAAGTAATGAAAATATGAGAAAAAGTGGTCCAGCCAAAGCCAATTTTGGAAATTTTACCAAAACCGGCTTTTTAAAAGTTAAACCAATTATATTTTTATGCATTATTAGAATTTGTAAAAAATATTTTATGCAGTAGGCCTATACAGACGTATGTACACACACCCACACCCGTATGTACAAACATTGCATTATTCCTCTTGCTGTTTCTGGGTTTTTCCAAGCCTTTAAATCAATCTATATATAGGCTTATGCATATACACATCTAGATGTGTATAAGAGACAGTTTTGGTACCATAGTTACCAACCGTCTCGCATCGTGCGGGACGATCCCGCATTTTAAAGTGATTTTGGATGAAACACACATTTTGCAGAAACACATGCGTGATCCTATATTTGTCACACATTTAGCGTACAGTAAGTCTATGCCTGATAAAAAAAAATTATCACGAATTCAGGGAAAATGTATTTAAAATTAGAGGAAATTAGTTTTATTACAAATATAAAAACTATCATGCAGTAACTTGAGTCTCAGAGAGTACAGTACGCTATTTACGTGAATACTTATTTCACTGACGCGTTACTAAAAATTGATCTGTAATTAAATATTTGTGTAGGTCGACATAGTTAAGTCTGTCTCTTATCCACATCT